ACCTGTTTGAACTCAAAATTGAACACACATGGACAGCAGGGGACTTAGACTTGAATTTGCAACCAAGTTTGTGGACATTTGAACCACAAAGAACTCAATTTGAAGTTGGACTTGGATCAAACTTGCGCAATGAATTTGACATGAAATAAGCAACATTAAACTGAACTTGAACCAAATGGCATAGAACCTAACTTGATCTTGGCTCTAATTGAATGCAATCAAATGAGCTGTGATAAATAAATTTTTGCATACCATTTGCTTATAAGCAATAGTGCAAAGGCAATGTGAAATTTGTAGTGAACAAGCCTTCAACATAAACTTGTGAAAAGAGCACGAAGGCACCAATGAAGAAGAACTCTTCCAAGGATATATCCATTTGAAATGGCTCTTAATGAAAGTAACAAGACTTCCTACAAATTTACATGAAGAATAACATGAAGTTTTTCACAGTGTTTAAAGCATTCAGTACACTCAAACAAATATTGACGAACAAATGAACTTGTGATACAACTTGCTTGCAAGCAAAGACTAAATGGAAGAAACAACTACAATCAGTCATGATATTTGTATCAATCATATAGACGAGATAGTGATCCAATATCATAGCAAACTGAGAGAAGCCACGAAGAATATGATTGGTATTGGTTAGCTTGTAGCTAATGATGGCTAGCTCATGACTAATGAAGACTAGTATGATGACAAGTTCAATAACCTGCTCGTAGTTAGTGATGATAGATGCATGCAATAAAACTGATCATTCCCCAATATTGATGTAGCAATCTATCTACAGATAAAGGCAAAAGATACATAGCAAATGCAAATACCTATGATCCCTTACAACAGATCCGCTATATGAATCATATGTCATTTGTGGACAAATACGAAAGAGACTATAGCAAACACAAGCTTCAAATGTAAGCTCCTACGACCCAAGGCAGGAGACTCGTAAGTGCACTACGATCCACCTGCAGAAAGCGACAAATAGTGCACGACAGTCTACCTGTACAAAGCAGGGAACCACTAAATTCAGAAGATGCTATGCTACGCCACCGGATCCGCAACTTCTATGCAAGCGACAGAAGGCGTCTACAAATACTTTCAAAATACCCTACACGTGCACTATAAATTGGACAAATAGTGCACGACAGTCTACCTGTACAAAGCAGGGAACCACTAAATTCAGAAGATGCTATGCTACGCCACCGGATCCGCAACTTCTATGCAAGCGGACAGAAGGCGTCTACAAATACTTTCAAAATACCCCTACACGAGCACTATAAATTGTATACACATAGGTACACAAGAGGATATACAATCAAAAATCCGCATGGGCCCCGGCGAGCGTGTTATTGGTACACACGTGACGTTTAGGCATGCTACGCGGGTTATTAAATTTAAACCTGATCCTCCTAGGTAGGTAAAAGGAGTACACAGGGTTCAATTACAAAATGCCCCAAACACCCGTATGGGTCCCGACGAGCGTGTTATTGATACACACGTGACGTCTAGGGATGTTGCGCAGGTCAATAGGTGAATTCAAGTTCGAACCCGATCCTTCTATACGGATCAATATGAGTCGACAGGGTTTGAACCATTGAGCAAATATAAGGTTGTGGCGACCATTATATTTGTTTTAATACATTCATATTAGGCCTTCAAGGCCTATAATCAAAAGAATTCACTCACAAGGGCACAAAGCTTACGAGAAACCCAATCCTCAGTCAACAGCTCGGCTGAGTCGACAGGGTTCAATCCACAAATGGAAATGACCCCAAACACCCCGATGATGGCCGTGTTGATTGTTTATCTCGATCGGAGGGGTTCACAAATATTTTCAAATCCTATCCCAAATACCCACAAAAAATCCAAAAAATTTCCAAAAATCCCAAAATTCAAAATATTTAAAATTGAAATAAATCCATCAAACACTTAAAGCAAAATTCATCCACCATCCGCAACAGTTTGTCGAGGTGGACAAATCTGAAAATTACTCCAACTCAATAAGAGCCAAATGCCTAATCGAAAATATCACTAGTATCCATTCTCAAACAATCTCCTGCTAGTAAGGACGTGGTACGTGTCCTCTAACAGGCGGTTTTGCCACCAAATGGCATCGCAGGATAAACGGTTATGACCCGGGGCCCTCTGAACCGAGTGGTTTTGCCGCCAAATGACACCACGAAATACCAGTTATGGCTAGCGCCATTACGTTCCTTATTGGCATCAAATCTTTGAGATATGAATCAATAGGATATGATTGATAGGGCACAAAGCCCTCTGTTAGCTAAGGTGGATCTAAATTTGTCCCCTTAGGCAAATACCCAGCCCAGGTCTACAAGGTACCCTTG